CCACTTAACGGACAAGATCAATATCGCAGAGGTTTAATTGCCTTGATGCTGAGTGCAACACAATGCAAAGGAGGAAAGACATCAGTAATGATCACAGAGAAGCAACTGTTTCAGCCCGTCAATATTAGACGGGTTATAAGGCCATTTCCAAACAATATGAAGTCCATCATTATGCAGTGAAAAGATCATTCAGAAATGGAAAACATTCAAGACAACTGCCAATCTTCCCAAGGAGTAGACGTCCCAGCAGATTCATCCCAAGATGCTCAGAGAAACTGTAAAAAAACACCCAAATAACAACCCCCTGTCTAAATCAGAGACAAACAGCTGTTTATGTTTTTAAACCCATTTTGCACAGAGAGGCATTTTTTGAAAAATGTATTGATAGCAATGTTGAATATTATTACACAGGAAAAAAAAACTACACGTAAAATAATCACACCGTGACGCCTCTGCCTTTGTAAATGGAGGGACAGTAACTGCGTGTTTATATGTAAGCGTGTAAAACCTGCAGATAGTCAGATTAACAGTATTTTGTCTCTATCTGCCATTCTGCAATTCCTCTCATGTAAACAATAACGTGGCGCACAGCGTGACATGAAAAAAGGCACATACCTTTGACGCTGCGTGACGAACTCTGTATTCCTCGTCCACACGGAAACGCAAAAAAGGAGGAAAATCTCAGTTTTCGCTGATTCGAAACGGCGTTTACGTGTGGATGAAACAGCTGCGTTTTCAAAAATACCCGCGTAGGTGCGGACGTAGCATAAAAGAGTTAGTGGTTTATTTATTGCAGTTTACTTGTATTTGCTTAATTGTTTACTAAATGTTTGAGGTGTGAAATAAACCGCAATGGAGCAAAATATGGGTGTGTGTGGTTGGAGGATGTGTTAGTGCATGCATGCGTGTGCGTGTGGGGGGCGCGAACATTTTTCATGTAAAACAAAGGGGGGCCCAGCAAAAGAAGTTTGGGAACCGCTGCATTAAAGCATTAATAAGGCAACCACGTGTTTGTGAATGTCAAAGCACACAAACCACAGGAAGGCATCCTTAAAACATGCTTCAGCATATCTGTGTATTCGGCACTTGACTCAGATAACCTAGAATCCGGACATACTGGGTCCTAACTAGAGCCCATTCAAAAAGTTGAGATGAGGTAGTCCATCAAAGCAACAAATGATAAGGGGAAAAAAATTCCTCCAGAAATTCAATTAAAGTCTCTTGAGTCAAGCCCAAAGCAATTATACAGAGGTGTGAAGCCACACCCGGGCTTCCCCAGTGGATAAAGGAATCCCCATGAGCCACAGCCATTCGTCAAGATATGAGTCAAGCCCTACATCGAGTACAATCCCTGAGTAAATGTCACATTTTCAAACAGGATGTGCTGCGAGAAATGTGTACCAGTTCAAAGCTACAATTCAGCAGTGAGACATATCCCGAGCTCACGCAGCAAATGTTCTCTTTTCTGTTTAAGTGAGTAACCTGAAGGTTTTTTCCCTTTTTCTCTGCCTACTCACTGTGTAGACTGTTGGTGACTTGTGATATTGTATTTACAATTTTCAGGTATCTGTACTTTACTTGAGTATTTCTTTTTCTGGCAACCTTTTGCTTTTACTCACTACATTTACATAAATATCAGTACCTCAGCGCCTAGCTAGCGTTACAGAAGAGGAGCGATTATAAAAGAAATAACGCTTTTTAACCGTTTGTGTGCAGTTTGTCTCACAGTCTAGCTAAAGGTTCAGCTGTTGTATTTCAGATGGAGAGAGAAGAAAGAGAGCTAACGTCACTCAGAGATAGAGAAAGATAAGAAAGACAGGACAGGAGAGGAGAGGAAGGAGAGAGGTTAGATGTAAAGGTAGGGGCTGCTAAGTGATATTTCATAAACTGGAAATTTCAAATGTTTTTAAATCAGATATTGGGTCTGTACATGAGACATTATATTTTTTCATATGTGAAACGTGCTGCAAAACAAACTGAAGTAGACGAACTATGTTATTTAAAGGTTGCATGACAATCCTCTACAGCAGGGGTAGGCAACTCCGGGCCTCGAGTGCCAGTGTCGGTGCCAAGTGGATCAAGGACACATCTAAAACCTGCAGGACACCGGTCCTCGAGGCCTGGAGTTCCCCACCCCTGCTCTACAGGTTAGTGCAGGATAAACAGGTTAGTTTGCAGTTGTGGACATCCACAGAGGGCAGCAGGTCAGTTGATTACAGCCTGCACACTAAGAAAATCTACTGGAGCTCTCAATAGAAATGATTGTGACTTATGATTCTTTTCCCCACACTGAGCCATTAAAACAATTTAAGATTTCACCACATCCCACCAGCAATGTTGGGAAAGTTACTTTTAAAATGTATTCCATTACAGATTACAGAATACATGCCCCAAAATGTATTCTGTAACGTATTCCGTTACGTCACTCAATGAGAGTAACGTATTCTGAATACTTTGGATTACTTAATATATTATCATGCTTTTTACAACTACGTGAATGTACTATTGCTGTGATTTATTACTGTTACTGAAGGTCCGCGGGTCCGAACCATAGTAAAGGGACCTCTGGTGTTGGGCTCGTAGCCGAAAAATAGCTTTACTTTGTTGTCTGGGTCAAGTTTGCTAGCGAGAGACAGAGAGAGGAGTTGAAAGGCTACTCCAACGGAACTTATTGTTTCGGAGGAAAACATGAACACAGCATACAGTCTAGTCGTAATAGCTTACTTACAACTGGGCTCGTCAGGCACTCTTCTTGGCTGCAGTGGTTATTATTATATTTACATGCTTCCCGCTCCCGTTTCTGCTACGATAACTACTTTTCCACTCTCCTTTTTCTCCCTCCTCGCGCTCACAGACACATAACGGGTATGGCAGTCCATTCTCCCTGCAGCACGGACTACACTGCCCATAAGGCTACATTCTTTAGGGCTATGCCTGTAGCATTCTGCCTATTAGCTTAGCACAACAACAACAACAAAAAGGCGCTCTCTCACCCAGGAAACACACAGTCACAGAGAGAGCGCGTGTCGCCCTGTAACCATGGCAACCGTAACTCTGCTGCCTGAAACAACAGAACATAGCTGTCAAACCAAACCCAAACAGTCCTGACCCGCCACAATATGAAACAGGAAAATTCTGCTGTGTAATCCATTTATTTCAACAAAGTAACTGTATTCTAAATACGTAACGGCGGTACATGTATTCCGTTACTCCCCAACACTGACCATTGTACTCCCATCCTTTATCCAGCCGCTGGTCTGCCATGTTTAAATGACACCGGTTAAGAGGGAGCATGCCAACTGCATTTGTGAGCGTGTTTGTGGGCGTGTGCTTGTGAGAAGAAAGTAGCTTAAATAAATATCACGTGTTTTTTCTTTATTTCTGAGTCCTCTGTTGGTTTACTTCAGGCTCCAGTGAGCAATGCTTTTGTAAAATATCTGGGCACATGTACGTAAAAGCATTAAAAGTAGGAAAATCATTTGAATCTGTCTCTTGAAGGAACAGAAAAAAATGTGTTAAAGTCTGTCTGGCGCTTACGTCACCGACAGGACTTCGTACCAAATCTGTTTTGGTCAACATGACACTGATCTAGAAATGAGACTGTGTTGAGTGCCACACATGCAGAAGCATCATGGATGATTAGAGTTCAGAGGTTTTGATGTTATGGTGTTAGATACCATTGTTTAACACAGGAAACTCACCAGACTGCTGTTATGTCAGTCCTTCTGTCAAGGCAACCGCCTCCTTAGTTTACGTGAAAGTCTTGTAAAAACATCTTAAGGTGGAAACAAAAAAATCTCATCTTAGACGTGTCCTTCGCAGCTCATACTTCCTCTTTCTGTGAGGACTTAAGCACATGTGGCAATTTCCTTTTTGGGAGATATTTTGAAAGCCAAATGATGTCCTAACATGTTGGGCAATCTTTGGGAGGAGAGCGTGCTGTTCGGGTGATTCACACATACACTGATCTCTTCCACGCCAATTACTGTGGAGCACCTTTTTAGTTCTTGTTAAAACAATCTTTATTTTAAGTGCAATTGTTGTTGTTGTGTGTGATTTTTTTTTTCCGTTTTCTGTCACGTTAAGTGGTTCCAGCAGCCTGAGTGCGTCTGTCTCCCACATTTCTGCGTGTTATGACGGTCACACTGAGCCCTCTTGTGGCTGCACGGGGAGTCAGCCTGACACAACGTCGAGCTTTAGCCGTGAAATGTGTTTCAACTTATGCTAAACTTTGATTTTAATGGTCCTGCTGCACTTTGAGCGCTTTTTTAGCCTGTTTCTGGGGAGAGGATGAATCGAGAACTTTCTGTGTGGACTGCGTGTTTCTCTCTGTGTCTGTGTGCTCTCCCCTGTTACAGTACAAAGTCAGTCAGGCAGTTAGATGTTGGTGTGGCGGTGTTTGATTGTCTATATCTGCCCTTTACTGGATGTATGTGAAACAGGGCAAACAAGGATGTGGTTTTAAAATTAGGTGACTGTTTCCATGGCCTTGTTTTTATAGGCCTCTGTGGTACTCAGAACCACAGAACTGTTTAAAACTGCTTGTGCTCTGCAGATGAATCACATTTATTCTCTGGAAATTCACACTGTAGAAAATGAGGCACTCTTACATTTGTGGAATAGGGACACTGCCTGCACTGTACACAAGGGCTCGTTATGGAAGCCTTTTTCTGCCAATGAAAAAATACTAGGCATCAAAATGTCAAATTAGGGACTTCAAAATTTCAATTTACTAGCTAAAACTTAGGGGTTAAGTAAAAATTGTGAGACACCTAACAAGGAATTGTGAGCTAATAACCCCAAATATTATGGTTGGAATTTTTTTTAAAATGGTGAAAACAAGTTTCCGTAGATCCCACTCGAAAACCTTTTCCTGTGAAATGTTTGGGTCTGTTTGCCCACTGCTCTGTGTCACATCCTGCCGAACGATGACGGGTTTGCAGGGTCTCTCATGTGGAGGATGATGTGGACAGCAGGACAGATATTACATCAGAGTCAGCTCACCTTGGTAATAGAATAGAATAAACCTTTATTATCCCACAAATAAGAAAATTTGGTGGTTACACAGATCTTATAGCAAGAGGGATATAAAATATAAATGCAAGACACAAAGTGGTCCTATACACATAAGCAACTGAAGTTCGTATGCATGTACAGTGAACAAACAAGCTGATGAGTAAGATAACCAAAAAATTGTTAAACTGTGTTACAGAGTCTGACAGCTGTTGGTAAGAATGACCTGTTGGTAGCGCTCCTTCCTACACCGTGGGTGTAAACGTCTACTGTCGAACGAGCTGCTCAGTGCTCGTACAGTCTCATGCAGGGGGTGGGAGGGGCTGTCCATGATGGATGTTAGCTTAGACAACATCCTCTCCTCCCCAACCTGCTCAGTGGACTTCATTAACCCAGCAAATGTCCAAGTGTTCAGTGATAATTTTCATAACACATGTAACGATGGCCCTGTAATATCAATTCCTTTTCAGGTGTGACTACACATATAAGAAAGATTGTCTCACTACCACCTATGAAAACCTTAACTTATAGCAACAAAACATCATGACTGGTACATTGCACTAAGTCAAACATTCAGGTCACCTTGAAGATTTTCTCAAACCACTTTCTTTTAGGATAGCTAGGTTTGCCGTTTAAATGTGTAGATATAAAGGTTTGTAAATTAACACAACACTCGTCTACTGAACAACATGCTCAGAATATTTATTGCATATATATATATATATATATATATATATATATATATATATATATATGTGTATATACAGTGGACACTGATTGCAGTAGTAATATCTTGTGCAGTACAACACAACAGCTCTATTACATTTTTCCCACGTTACAAAGAAAACATTGTTTATATTTGGTTAATTCATTCCAGTAAATCCCCACTGCAAACTACAACCTCAATAATTAACAAAATTATTCATTTGCTGATTAGCAGCCATTATAAGTGGATTTTACAGGCAAACCTGATAAAGATGGAGTACTTTGCTGATGCATCAGTTTGGTTACTGTGCGTTACAGTCAGGCACCAGTTACAACGGTGATGTTTGAATCTGGGGAGATGAACAACCAAGAGAATTAAATGTCAAAAAAGCGAGTGAACCTTAAAAATGTAACATTTGATTTACTTTACAACAGTTTTCCCTTTAGTTTATTTTATTTTTCAGTTTCATAAAAAAGATCATCATTCAAAGCTGGCACAATTCCCTTAATGAAAATGTTGCATCTGGTGTAATTATTGATATTAAATAGATGTTTAAATTATGCTAACATTTTTCCTGTCTTATTATCACTTTGAACAAAGACTTGCAGTCCAATTCAGGTTGGTCCTTTCAAAGCGTGCCGACTGCAGTGATGAAATAAACTAAATAAATAAAAAGCTTAAACAATAATCATAACTCTTTGTAACAGTTTATAAATATCTTCTACAGATAATGTTTTGGATATAGACTTCTTTAATATTTTGTAGTTAAAAGTTCGTTGTGCTGAGACCTGTGATTAGTCTGACTGGGAGTTTATTTACCTTGAACATCTGTTGTCATGGTAATAAAGTTATCCCATGTGAAATAATATAAAACTAGTCAACATGAATAAAAGAAGTTAATAGAAATGCTTTGGTGGATTAAATGTTAATAATTTTTTCACTGACTGGATGTTATTCAAAAAGTTTTTTTTACATTGTGCTCGTTCACACTTTGAGGACTGTTACACAAAGCATGGTTTGAGTTTAGTGAGGTAACTTCACTAAGCTCAAATCCAGGTTTTTCACTGTTACGAAGGTTCGCTTCTTACTGGAGTACATCGCCATGGTAACTTGCACTGCAGTCCTAAGCTGCTCTGAAGCTCTGTTTGGTATAAGAGAAATCACCACCTACTGACCAGTCAGTTTGACTTCTTTCTTTTTCATATTTTAGAGAAAAGATTACTTGATTAACTGATTGGGAGAACATACACTAGTCCTCAAGGTTAGTAAGCAACATTAGGTGAGATATGTTTTTACCTGCTGGTTGCAGACTGAAATATCTTTCAGGAAAGCCCCTGTCACTGTACGCATGGCAGGTGTAGTTTATGTTGAAGTCCTCCTCCTTCAGCTCAGAAAATATCAGCCAGGTCTCTAACCACGCACCTTTACTGGAGCCATCTTGGGGCAGCAAACTGTTGAAGACAATGAGATGAGATCGTCCTAAAATTCCCAAAAGTCTCAACGTTCTCAAAAGTAAGCAAATAAAACAAATTGATGGAGATTTAAGGTACTGACCGCTGTTCTAACATGTGTACACGGTGAGAGGTGTTAGTCTCAAAGAATCCATCTTTGTCCAACCAATAAATATCAACGATAGGCTTCCCAACACCCGGCACAAACACCAGGCACCTTTTACTGAAGTTGTACCCTGAAAACATGCGCAAAACAGTGACTCAGTATAAACATGAAACTGTATATTTAGCATTTACTCTCCCTGCAGAAGTCTGTGACTTTCAACCCAATATGTTGGCCTAAATGAAGCCTGAGATACATAAATATGAAATCAACAGAACACCACATTTCTCAGAAGATCTTAGAGGACTTACCGCTCTGTGCTTTGATTACATCATTGGAGGGTTCATGCACTTGTGGAACCAAAGAGTAATCCCCTGAAACAGAGAACATCAAATACTGTGTAGCTTACAGTAGAGGTTGAATAATCACAAAGATATAATGGAAATTGAATCATATTTCTCTTTCGCAGTTTTACAGTAAGCAAACCTAAGAAACCATTATTACTAACACAACTGATGTTTCTTTTTCTGTTATTATTTTTATTGTTAAAATGAAGCGATTATGCTTTTTTCACCGGATTTTTGTCAACGTACAGTAGTGTCAAGATAGTCTTTGAGGCCTTTGGGCTGGGATGTGTTGGGCAACCGTGATTCTGTCCTTTCAACTGCGCTCAGTATAGAAGTCACGATACCTCAGCTCGCTTGCAAGTGTTTGGGAGCTGTTCTGTTCTGTTTTGTTTGTGTTTGAGGGCGTTACTGTATATGCCTGACTAACTGAAGTGGATATCACGGTCAGTTAGCAGTCAAACATAAACCTTGCTTGAATAACAGAACAAAGACACAGCTGCCCTTCTCAGCTGTGTGGGGGCTCCTGACGAGGTCTTTATCTTGTGTAGCCCAAGGCGCAAACAGTTTTTGTTTTGCATTTCCCCGTCTTGTGCCACATGCTTGTTCAAGATATAACATAACAATTTTCACTAAGTGAATCTGTGAATCATAATTTGAGGTATCTAGGTGCTAACCTATAAGCTACATGAGGCTTAGCGGGGGATAATTATGACACAGTCAAACCCAAGTAAATGAAAACCAAGTTGAGTGCTCGGAAATACCAGCTTTATGACTGAAGAGCATTGTGCACATCTATACAGTTACTTATTGTATCATCACTGTTATTTTATAATTCATCTTTACATATGGACAAAAAAAATCACTGTCTTCTTCCTCTTTTTTCAGCTGCTCCCTTCATGGGGCGCCACAGCAGATCATCTGCCTCTATCTCGCCCTATCCCTATTGCCCCTTTCTGTCACACCCACCCTCCACATGCCCTCCTTCACTACATCCATGAATCTTCTCTGTGTTCTACCTCTTTTCCTCCTGCCTGGATGCTCATCCTCAGCATTATATGTCTAACATAGCCCCTTTCCCTCCTCTGCATGCGTCCAAACCATCCCAGCCTTTCCTCTTTACATTTATCTCCAAACTGTTAACATTAGCCGCCTCTCTGATATGTTCAATGCTAATCTTAATCATTTTTGTCACACCCAGTATAAACCTATATAGATCTTCAAATCCCCCAGCTCGGCCTCCTGTCTCTTTATCATTGCCACCATCTCCAAACCGCCATTATCATTATCTTCCCTCCAGTCAATACTTCCATTGCTCTAGGTTGTCTTCCACCTGCTCCCTGCTCTCACTACAGGTCTGCAAACATCATAATTCACATCATCATAATCCTGTCTGACCTCATCTTCAGCCTGTCCATCACTATCGCAAACAGCATGGTCAATCCCTGGTCCCACCCCCACCTTAAACACCTTCTATCACTTCGAATGCGCCCCGCACCACTGTCTCGTTGTCCTCATACATGGCCTCCCTCACATACTTCTTCACCATTCCTGACTACGTCATTCAGAGCCAAAGTTCCTCTCCTAGCATACAAAAGTATGTCATCTGGACCAACTGCCCTTCCACACTTCATCCACTTCATAGCCCCCTCACTTCATTTCAGTGTTTCTCTTAATCTACAATCTCACCTTTGACCTCTGCGCTAATAGTCTCTGACACAGATCCTTTGATGCCACCCAGGGTGAATGTCAGAGTACAGGTATAGGTGCCTTTGTGTTGAAGGTCCACACTGGTAATTTTCAGTCTGGTGCCCCAGTACTCATAGCTGCCTGTTCCGTCCTCTATGGGGTCACAACCCTAGAGGGAGAAACGCACAAGTCTTTTTTCAAATTAACAATGCATGAAGAAAAATGTTAACTATTTAAATTGGAGAACAGTTTACAGCCACTGGGATAGTTTTGATGCTCCTAATCTGTTCAGATAGACATTTAAAGAGTTCCATGATTTTTAATATTATTAAACTGTTTGTTTCCCTTCCACAAAATTAAAGGGCACGCACACAAACACACCGAGACTGGGATCTGCTGTCAGTCAAATTGCAATTTTTAAACACTCGTATCTCCCCAGAGTTTCAATACATTCCTGGTATTGATAGAAGTTGGAATAGTGGTAGTAAATAGTTGAGGCTGCAGCTACTGTGCAGTCTCTCCATTAAAACCATTAGGTTTCATGCAGCACTCAACAACAATTCTGGAGAACTCACTCTGTACCACTTGATGGAGGAAGAGATGTTGTAGCTGTTCAGCTTATTCATTTCATTCTTCAGAGGGCAGTTCAGATTGTCAGTGACTCCTTTTGTAAGTTGCTGATAAGCTTTCCTCGGCCTTCCACATTCTCCTGTAGGTCTTTCATCCACCACCAGTCGGCTGGCCTCCCTGTAGCAGTGGGAAGGAGTCCTGTTGGGAAATTAAGCAGAAATATTATAAATGAATAGATAATTGGGCACACTCGCCCTGGCAGTGACGGTCATTGTTTGACCTTCTCCACAGTCAAAAATCAAACAATATTAATATTAAATTTGTTGGAATTGTAAGGGATCTTGATCTTAGATTTTGAAAATCTAAATCTAATTCTGTGTTGGGGATAGATAATATTGCAGCAGTGCCGCTGCACGGGAGGCGGACGCACCTGAGCGGAATCCGGTTGTTGTTGTTGGAGTGTGTGGCTGCAAGCTGCAAAGCTGCAGCCCGTGTGTGAACGGCAATCGGAATAAAAGTGTTTGAAAGTACTGAGATGTGGGCGGTTTCGTCATTCTCCTATTATAATTTCCAATACAGTAAAAGCCATAAACCACTCTGTGTTCACTGTGATTACTGATAGATCATGGAGGCAGTTCGATGAGTTGTGTAAGGTGTAAATTAATACTGTGTTCTACTCATTTCTAATATTTCTACTTCTACTAGTGCTTCCTACCTCAGTATGGTCACATAATCCCCACTGTCATTCATGGTTACATTGAGAATCCACAGAGTCTCCTCGTGCACCAGGATGTGACCAGTCTGACTGCTGATTTCTTGGCCTGACACCGAGTTGTACCACGTGATGTTGTACGGGACAGTTTTGAAATCAAAGACGTCTGAGGACACCAGTGTGCTTCTCAGCATAGCCACATCTCCAGGAACAGAGAAAACCCTCTCAAACTGGAGTTTGTAGTCAGTACAGTTCTCTGCAACATACATGTAAGTGTGGAATAGAGAAAATAGTTATTTAACCTTTTATTGCTGAGAAATCAAACATTTCAAAGTCAAATATAATGTTGTTATTTGTTTGAAATTAATTGAATTGAACTGAACTGAACTGAGATGTGACATATTTCCTGCTCCATGTGTTTTTACTTGAACTTTCCCAAGCAGAGTTAAAAATCAGTGTTGTTGTAATTCTATCCCTGGCCACAAGAGGGCAATAAAATACTTCAGATCATGCTAGTGGCTCAAACTGCAGCTTGGCAAAAACATGACATATGATAAATTTACAGAAACATTTAAAAATTTGTTAATGTGTTCAGTGTGTGTGTGTGTGTGTGTGTGTAAAATAGTGTTACTCACCCTCTTCAGATCCTCTACATATTCCACACAGCCCGAAGAAAAACACAAAGCTTACCAGAACTAGACTTAAGTCCATGGCTGAAAAACACACAGATACACAACATTTACAACACAGCATTCATGCTAGAAAGTATATAAACATCATAAAATAGCAGTCAGGCAACAACTGGAAAATTTTATGCAGTGAAAGCAACAACTTACCAGAGCCTTTAAAACCCATCAATGATCAGCAGAAATTAACGACTTTACTCTGCCTCAGATTTTTCCTCTGCTTGCTTCTCCCTTTCTCTTTCTCTCACGATCTAGCTTCCTCCCTCCTCATTCCTCATGAGTGACTTGTGTTGTTGCGTTTGAGGAGTTGTTTATATAAACCTCAAATGCTACATAATGCTCTTTGAGTGGAAACAGAACTTTGCAATTTTAGGCGTTGCTGGAAGAAGGAAACTGTCTTGTAAAGAAAAGTAGACTGAAACTAACAATGCAAAGTTTCCTCAACTGCAGTGCAGCCCAGAGAGAAAGTTTCAAGTGTAAACTGGAAAATACAAAGTCTCCAACCAAACAATTATCATGGTAAATGGACTGATTCTTATATAGCGCTTTTCTACGCTCCCGCAGTACTCAAAGCACTGTATACAACATGCCTCATTCACCCATTCATAGAAGCACTTCTAAACTCAAGTGGAAACTAATAAACATTCACACTCCAATGAATGCATCGGAGTGCAACTTGGGGTTATTATCTTGCCTAAGAATATTTGGCATGCAAACTAGGGAAGCCAAGGATCGAACCACCAACCTTCCAATTATGGTAAATGGACTGGTTCTTATATAGCGTTTTTCTACTCATCTGAGCACTTAAAGCACTTTACACAACTTGTGCATTCACCCATTCTCAAGCACATTTTTCTTAGTGCTTTATAACTAACATTCACACTCCGATGGATAGGGATGGGTATTGATAAGATTTTAACGATTCCGATTCCATTTTCGATTCTGTTTAACGATTCGATTCTTTATCGATTCTCTTATCGATTCTTTTTTTTTTTTTTTTAAAAAGGAGAACACTAAGGTCGATTAGCTTAGAACTTTGTTTTATATCTTCTCTTTGAACAAGATAGAAACTTAAGAGTAACATGGCCTTACAAACCCAACAGTGAGAGCTTCAGAGATCCAGCCTACGGCTCTTCAATGGGGTGTCACAGGGTCCCCAGGAAAAAAAATTGTAAATGTAAAATAATAAAATAAATATTCTTCTGTAGCAATAACAAAGTATAACATAAATTGTTCTGTGGCAATTACACAAGAATATCCAGTAATGTCCCTGCCTACAATTAAACACATTCACTTACCAAAAATCATCTGCTGTGGCAAACGGGTGCAAGCCTTTGACCACAAACTGAGTCACTGCTCTGTGACATTCGTCTATCCTGCCTGAAAGGAGACGCTGCCGGCAGACTGCAGCGAGAACTGCCAGCATCTGAGCCAGACTGTCACGGTGCGCTGTGACAGACCGTGCGGTGGTGTGTGTGGTGGACCCAGGTGCGAACACAAGTGAGCAGACGGGAGTGAACTTTAAACAAAAGCGAGCCTTTTATTGTGGCTGGTAACGCAAGAGAAACAAACAAGAATAAGGGCAGCACAAAAGCAATAACTAAAACAGAAACCTAAACTGGAAATGAACTAAGGTAAGGCTATGACTTAGAATACAACAGACCGGGCATGGAAACATGGAGGGTGGGAACACAGACGACGCGACACAGACTGTAAGAAACACAGAGACTAAATACACATGAGGGATGATCAGGGGAAGTGGCCACACATGGGAACGCAGCTGATATACATGAACTTAACAACAGGAGGAGTGAAACTGAATACACTGACATTCAATACAGACTTTCAAAGTAAAACAGGAAACATGGAGATTAGACATGACATGAACTAAACATAACCATGCAGACATGACTCATGACAGATAGACGCACGAACCAGGGAGACTCAGTACAGGGGAAGATGACAGAAGCGACAGCATGAACTTGACAACACAAGACACACGGACATAAACACATGAAGGGCAAGGGAGGCTATATACAAGGGTAATATAATTACAAATGAGCTGGAATAACTAAATGAACCTAAACAATCAATAAACATCAAAACAGACTAAACACAAAACACTGGGTCGCACGACCCAGGACCATGACACAGACTCTGTCTCTCTCATCATGGTCACCTACATGTACAGTAATGGCAGGTCTTGTAATAAGGCAGATCGCGCTAACATAATATGCACTGTTAGTTGATTATTTACCTGCCGCATTAACGGAAGAGGGCGTGCAAACGTTACCGCTGCTGCTGGGAGAGTCACGAGTCCGGAGTGGAATTAAAAACACGACATTCATTTAAGGTCATCGCGTGTTTTGTGAGCAAATGCTTTTGCATATTCGTAGTGTTTCCTCCCTTAAATGAAATATCTACTTTGCAAGTTGCCCTGTTGTCATCGGTTCTCATGAAGTATAATCAAACTTTTGAGCGTTTGAGCCGCTTAGGCGCCATGTTTCCTGCCAGGTAAATGACGCTCCGCAACGTGGTGACGTCATTCGGGGCGACTGGAATCGATAAGGGAATCGTTTGCAAAAATGGCAAACGATTCCAAGGAATTGAAACAGTGGGAACCGGTTTTCGATACCCATCCCTACCGATGGATGCATCGGAGAGCAATTTGGGGTTAGTATCTTGCCCAAGGATATTTGGCATGCAGGGGAAACCAGGAATCGAACCACCAACCTTCCAATTAGTAGGTGATCGGCTCTACCACCTGAGCCACAGCGCCTGGTATTCCCAGGTGGTCTCTCATTCAACTACTAACCAAGCCCAACCCTGCTTAGCTTGTGAGATCGGGCATGCTCAGGGTGGTATGGCTGCAGTCAGTCACTGCCTGACTCTGCCAGCGTTGGAGAAAAAAACTGCTTTACTTATTATTTTAACCTTCATCTTGGCAACTGGGGTGAGCACAGACCGCTGAAGTATTGTCAGTCAGTTTGTTCCCAATGATGTCACATTATTGCTTTCCATTTCTACTTTGATTAGTGCTTTAAAAATCCAAATGTTTTGGGGTCCAAGGGGACCACAATCAAAAGCACCCAATCCGATGTGTGAAGTTTTAATAAGTTTTAAGTTTAATAAATGGAACTCTTTGTAAATATTTGTTTCTCCTATCACATGCAAGCATGTCTGAAGACTAGCACGAGGCAAAACTGTGTGCTGTAACTGCCTGCAGTCCTACTGTTGTCTAAGGCTGTGCTGCCCTATAGGCAATTATTTGAGACTGTTTTTTGTGTTTAATACATCTTGACAATTGTGATTTTTAAAGTCTAGAAGAACTGGCTCGTTTCCCTTAGTTTTACTTAAAAGTAACTTTATTTGTCTGGGTAAGCCTGTGATGACATCACTTCCTGTCCAAAAAAATTCGGCCCTGTCTCACTATAGCTGTGTCCCAATTCAGGGACACAGCAATGACTGTTTAAAAGACTTTTATACAGTCATTGGTAGCGACACGTACAAATCGAGTCTACCCGATCCATACCTCGCATGTGCAGGTGTTTTCCAGGGATCTGGAAGCTGTTCGGCTGACTTAAAGCAGCAGCACTTTCTGCACCTGCATAAACTCCAGGACACGTTTACTAACAGTGTTTGTTGCTGTGTGTGCTGCAGCTGAAGCTTTGAATTTTTTTTTTGAGAGTTAATATTTTGGCTAAGATAAGATAAGATAAGATAACCTTTATTAGTCCCACACGTGGGAAATTTGTTTTGTCACAGCAGGAAGTGGACAGTGCAAAAGTTATGAGGCAAAAATTAGAATACAATAAGAATAAATACAGTACACAGCTGTACAGAATAGAATAAAATAAAATACTATATACAGTAGAATAAAATAAAATAAATATACAATAAGATAAAAATAGAATACAAATACAAATACTATATACAACTGAGTAAAAATACAACGATGACAGAAAGGATTATTGCACTTAGTATTATTGCATATGTATGGATGTGTGTGCTTGATCAGTTAAAGTCTTTATTATGGAGTCTGACAGCAGTGGGGAGGAAAGACCTGCGAAATCTCTCCGTCCCACACCGTGGGTGCCGCAGTCTCCCACTGAAGGAGCTGCTCAGTGCTGTCACAGTCTGCTGCATGGGGTGGGAGATGTTGTCCATCAGGGATGACAGCTTAGCCGCCGTTTTCCTGTCACTCACCACCTCCACTGGGTCCAGAGGGCATCCTAGAACAGAGCTGGCCCTTCGGATCACCCTGTTCAGTCTCTTCCTGTCCCCAGCAGAGATGCTGCCGCCCCAGCTATGGTATCTTGTTATGAAATGTTGTGTGTCAAAGCTAAGTTTGATTGGGAAACTCAAAGCTCAATAACCTGTATCAACAACAATTCACTGCAGCCTGTGCAATATTTGATGCATCATAATTTATTCCAGTCTATCTTGCAAATACATGTTTGCAATGTCATGCACAAACACACACAACTATTAGATCCTTAAGATCAAACCTGTGTCATTCTTTTGGTCCACTGCAGTGTAGTAGTGCAACCATGGCTCAGGGGGTTGAAAAGCGCATCTGTAACCGGAAGGTCGCTGGTTCGATCCCTGGTTGTTGTGTCCTTGGGCAAGACACTTTACCCTACCACTGGTGTTAGCCTCCCTTCTGTCAGTCTGCCCCTGGGCAGCTGTGACTAAAACTGTAGCTTGCCTCCACCAGTGTGTGAGAGTGAATGAATAGTGGCATTGTAAAGCGCTTTGTGTGCCTTGAAAAGCGCTATATAAATCCAATCCATTATTATTATAGTAAAAAAAAAAAAAACTCCCCCCAAAAAAAGAAGTGAAGTGGCCCCAAATGGCCAGGATAGAGATCAGAGGGTTAATGCGCAAAATGTATAAAAAAAATATTGATTACAGGATAATACATTAATGTTAATATCAACAATAAGCTTTTTACTCTGAAGTTACAAGTATAAACAATGCTGTTACATTTACACTTAAATTCTTTACTACAAGTATGGAAACAAGTGAACAACATTTTATAATAAGTTTAACTGGAATTCTGTACACTGAAAAGCAAACAACACATAAAAAACACAAACAAACAGCCATTACCTTCATCTGTCCATTAAATGTCAAACATCGCATTGACCCGTAGTCCCTGCTCATGAGCACATGCTTTTAAAAAGAGCTCCATGTCCTCTGCAAACTGAAAAACAAAGAGGAAGAAGTCCCTCTACACAAAAACACTGCAGATGACAGGCCAGGCAAACATCTATTGACCTGTTTGAATGCCTTCACATCATGTGAGCCTTGAAGTTT